AGGAGATGACTGTCTTGGTTTTCAATGGGGTCTTTTGGGGGGGGGGGGGCCTGGGCACTGTTCCTGAGCTTAACTGTTCAAGGCTAATACTCTATATAATTTGAACCACACCTCCCCTTCTGGCTTTTTGGTGGTTACTTGGAGATAAGAGTCTCATGGACTTTCCTTCCCAGGCTGGTTTTGAACCTGGATCCTCAGATCTCAGCCTCTGGAGTAGCTTGGAATACAAGTATAATTGAGCCACCAATGCCACACATGTTTTGTTGTCTCCTTTTCCAGGTCCACTGGCACATTTCCCTTTCGGATTAGTTATGTCTACCTTAACAGTAAGAACTTTCCTTAGGACAGAGTCAGAGAAAATTAGGCTTCAGAAATTAAATGGAAATGAACAGCAACTGTCAGAATCCACAGAGAAATGAGAAGCGAGGCAGAGGTCAATTTAGATATCAAAGCAGTGAGGCATTGGCCATTCCCTCCCACAACAGATGAACAAAGATGTTCCTGTCTGGCCATGTGTGAGCTTAGCCCTAGCTGGGAACATTCTGACCAAGTGGCAGTAAGACATACCCCTCCCTTGGGCCCATAGAAGCAGACAAAAGCAACCTGGAAGAGTAATTGGAAGAACTCAAAGAAGGCCAAGATGGGGGTGAGGAGGAAAGTTGGGTTACCAATCATGTTCAGACAACCTACCTTACAGGAACCGATACCCATTGACCAATCTGACCCATGTAGTCGAAGTAATACACCGGACTAGGCTCAGCTGGGGCTGGCTCTTGACCAAAGCATTGCAGGCAGAAACACGCCTCCCCCATCTTCAGGAGTGGTTGAGGCGACTGAATCTTGGTTTGTCAAGTCAGGCAGGACCAGTTCCCATGACGCTCATGTACCTGTCAGCAGATAGAAACTTTTCTAGGAATTCCAACTACTCCATCAGTACCCTTTCATAAGAGAGAGTACTATATAGAGGCTCTGAGGAATTTCAACTTCCCCATCACACCCTTTGAGAAAAGAGAGGACCTGGAACCTGCCAGTGGCCTCTCTTCACTGCACTTGAACAAGGTGCCAGCTCCTGAATGGCTGTAACCCACATATGTGACATGCATGACACACAAAGATAATGATGATGTTAGCAGAGGGCTTCCCAGTAAGTAGACTGTAAAACTCAGGCAAGAACCTTTCCTGAACAACCCATTGAGACTAAAGGATATTTTGGTCCTAAAAGGACAGTAACTAATAGTCCTGGGTACAAAATGTTCCTGATGCCTGTCATACGATGGAAGATAACAAAGCCAAGTTGGCTCTTTCTGTTGGTGATAAGCCAGCAGGTGAAGTGTCATCAAATCCTTTCCCTAATCCTACCATGGATTCAAGAGACGGTATGGATGGGCATGGTGGCCAAGACATAAGGAACTACCCACCCAAGATAAAAAAGAATCTGGTGAGGACAAACAGAATGAGGCCAATAAAGAAGACAACGGTAACTGCCACACCTCCTTCCTGAGAAAATTATGGCTGGTTGTAGAGAACAAGGCATTTAAATCAGTGACCTGGAACAAAGAAGACCTTGTGATTATCAAGGCAGAACAGTTTCACATCAAGGTTTTGGACCTCAAAGGCCTAGACAAAGTTTTTGATGCATAAAGCTTGAAGAGTTACATTCGCCTACTAAACCTGCATGAATTCACCAAGATCTGCCCAAACAACTCTACTATTCAGGCTCAAGGGCAGAGAAAAAAAATCATGGTAAGTTAAAAAGTACTTGTCTCTTACTTTCTCTTTGATGAGAACCTCAGTCAGCATCTTGTCCATGTACTGCCACCTCAAACTGCAAACCCTTTTATCTTTGGCGAGCTCATGTTGAACGGCAGAGTGACCCCTGCCAGCAACCTAAAATCCATTTGCTCCATGATGAGCCGTTAGGATTGGGGAAGGGGAGCAAGCAATGATCATATTATCCCAGAAAGAATGAAATATTTCATTTGTTTCAGATGTACCATAACTGGAATTTTCGCAGAGACAACCCAGGTCGGGTTCAAAATATTTGCATTAGAGGAAATAGTAGACATAAGTGATCTGCAAGAAATAACACAAAACAAGTCCGAAGAAAGAAAACAGGAGGAGGCCGAGAGCACAAGTGTCCAGCAGAATGCCGAGCATGAAGTTAACTGAGATCCCCAGAGGCAGTGCCTCAATGAAGCAGGATTCAGGGGGATGTGCCATTATATTTCTCTGGCTTCCCTTTGAGAAAGACCTCCACCCTCCAAGAACCAAATAATTCTAGTGGAAAGGGCATCTGAGGGAGCAACCTCTTTGAGCCTGCGCCTGACTATGAAAATGAAGGCAACAGGGAAGTGTGTGGCACGCCACAACCAATTCCTAACATACAGTAGGTAATAGATTTGTACAACATCTGCTATTCTATTCTGCTGGGTTTCGCTGCTGCTCATGGCTCCAGATGAGCTTCTGGAAGGTGAAGAAGATCAGAAGGAGGAGGAGGAGAAGGAGGAAGAGGGATCCGCAGGTTATAAATAAAAGCACTATGAACATTTCAAGAACAATGCAGGGCCACGAAATCGTCGGTCGCTCAAGACGCATAAAAATATTAATTTTGAGATATGAAGCCATGTTTTATGTTAATAAGCCCCAAAATATCCAGTCAGATAATAAACAAACTCAATGATAGTCTTGAGTCTGTGTTGTTCAGAACCTTTCTTACTGCTCACCCGTCAGTGGCATACACCCTCTCCCCCTTTGCTTCCCCTTGATGTCATTCATTTGAGCAGCATTGCCAATAGAGGATTCCATAGGGCTGAGGGCAGGTCCGGGAAGATCTGGGTCCCTGGGTCTTACCTGGGGTCAGGCCTGGTCCTCACCTGGGATGGGGAGAGTCACCTCACTAACGATTTGGGTATCTTGAAGCAAGAGATTGCTCCCTCATGAATGCTCCCCAATCAACACTGCCAGGAAGGTCTGGTTACCAGCTGATGAGTTCTACTCCCAAGATCCTTCAGGACTGCAAGCTGCCCATCCAACAAGACATGGACCATTGCCATCTCCTGGCTCACAGGACAGTACATTCCAGTCACTCCCACAGGGTAGGGGATCGGGAAGGCCAGGATCCTTATAGATAACATTCACTAGAACATTTGCTGCAAGATAAACAGTACTTGCTTCAAAAATCTCAGGGGGAATTTTCCCATGAAGTGGGAACAAGAGAAAGGATGTATGGCTGCTTTGTTTCCAAGTGTCATGTCTTCTTTAACCTAGATACCTCAGGCTTTTTCTGGCTGCTCACTCTCAGCTGATACCATACAGTGTCCAGTCCTAGGCCTCACACATGCCCCCGGGATGCTGTTCAACCATTCCATGAAGCTTGACTCAAAGAGGCGCAACAGTCATCGGCACATTTGTTTGTTTCCTGCAGAACATAGCAAGACCAATGTCTGGGACAACACTGAGACATTTCCCAGCAGCCTTTCCTTTTCCCAGAGGGACAAGGTACTAGATACCTTAGCAAGAAGCCTCAAGAAGAAATGCACAAAGATGGTCACTTCTTGTGACCTTATCACCTGAGTGTGGGAACAGCACTTACTGGTTACTGCTTAACAAGGTTTTGGCGGTTAGAGCTAGCTGATTTTTATAGGACTGAGCTATGACTGGGAATAGATACTTCATGATTTGGTTTGTTTGGAGCAATGCTGTCTTCCAAGACCCAGACAAATTGTATTTCACAGCCCAAAGGAATCAAGTGTACGAGGATGTCTACCTGAAATATGTCTACCTGCTTTTCCTAGGTAAGGGCTCCAGTAAACACATGGGGTTGGAAATCACGATCTGGTACTTGTGCTTCAGGTAGGTCAGTACAGCTTGCTTTTCCTCTTCCTCGGCCTGGTCAGAATATAAGTTTTCCAGACATTGTCTAGTTCTCCCAATGTCACAAAGAGAGAGACACTCATGTGGTTTCCCTTCCACAAACCATGGCTGGCAACAGGACCATTCAAATTACATAGTGCTGAAGACCCAGATTAATACCAAAATGACACGAAGCAAGCTGAATCTCCTGAGCCCTGGGGCCACACTAAACAGTGCTCACAGCTTTCTTGTAAGGCACATAGAGGCTCCAGAAATGAACAGAAGGCCCGGGTATCCATGGAGAGGTACAAGTAACCAAGTGACAATTGGGTCTCTCTACAAGACACTTAAAGGTAGCAATTATAGCTGATAAACCTATGGACAATAGGATACCTAAGGATACCAGGTGGCAGATGCTGCTGCAAGACTTCAGCCATGCTGTGGTTAGAGGATTGCTTGGGTTGCTACATGGAAGAGTCACGTGAAGCCAGACAGGCAGCTTAACTTGGCCACCCACCCAGGATCATTATGTTTCTTCAGATTTGGCTAAGATATAATCACACCCACAGCCACACACCCCACAAGCACACTTATACACAGAGGTGTGCACAAAGACATCGGTAAACACCACATGTGACGCTTTCCTTGTACCTGGACTGTCATGTCATAAAATAGGAAGCAATGAGCACAGAGGACTCATTCCCCTAGACGATGGAACACAGGCCCCTTGAGTCCCTGCCCAGTGCCCCTCCTGACCCCTTTGAAGACGTTTTGTGTGGGGGAACTAAAGTGCATATCCTCCAACTCACAGGACAACAGAAGCCACACACTCCCAACCACCACCCTGAGGCACTTTTTGGGAATTGCCTTCACCATGCTCAACATCCTCACTTACCCGCTACCACACCTTGGCCACACATTTCCCCTTCCTGGAGCAAGGTTGGAATCTGTTCAGGGTTCATCCCCAGCCTCTCCACCAGCAGCTCCCACCAGGAATCATCTTCCCAGTCTCTGTGAGCAATGTGAGTGGCAATGGTACAGTTCTGATGGCTCCTCAGCAGGGGTCGCCAACGTGTGTCCAGGTTCTTGACTCCACCAAACACAAAACCAGTAAAAGGCTGCTGGAAGGAGAGGCAGCCAAACTTCATCTTCCTCTAGCTCCCTGGACCTAACACAGACACATGTCATACCCCAGCACTTAAACCTCATAACCGATGTGATTCATCTGCTAAGTACCCTGAAATCCCACTGACCCCACAGTGTTCTGCTTCTACATGTCACCATAGGTCACTGATGCCCTGCTCCACAATACACCAAACACAAGGGGCCAGCCTGTCTTGGATCCATTCGTTGAGCCTTTGGGTTGCTCATGGCGTAGGAGCAGACATGTAGAGAAAATCAGACTGCACAGTGTGTGGTTACTGCTAGGCAGAGTGCTAGGGCCACAGAGGAAATAGGGTCCTCCTACGTAAGTCAGGGCTTTATGTTCAAGGGGCTAGCTTTAGTAGGGTGACAGTCTGGGCTCTGCAACTTTACCTGCCTGTTGTATGCCACCCTCAGCCACACCTTCTCTTCTCTTCCCTTCCTTTCCTAGTACTATCGATGCATGTGTTGCAGGCCCAGTCTTGGTTACTATTCTGGCTTGGCTTGGCTCATGAGTTGGATCCCAGGTGGACTCATCAGTGTCACAGACTTAAAACCCCAAAGGACTTAGGACCACTCCAGATATATCTCCCTTCCTCTGCTATTGGTATGGAGTCTTCGAACCCCATGTGTGTGCCCTAACTGAGCCAGCTATCTCAACCACCACCTATGTCGCTCAACTCTACTTCCCAAACTTCCAGTGTGTACACAGCTAGCATTCAAACCCCACCTGCTGCTGTACTCATCAGCATTCTGGCCATTCCTGTGATGCTAAAAATAGCTGCAGTCAGCAGTTTTATTGATCTTGTGACAAATGTGCTGCCCCGTTTCCTGGGGACCCAATTATCCATAACTCCTGAAAGCTTATCCACTCCCCAGCTCATCAGATTTCCCAGAACCAGCTGCAATGCTCCTAGTTTTCTTGGTGCCCAATTCTTTCTTTCCTCCTTCCTTCCTTCTTCTTCCTTTCTTCTTTCTTTCTCCCTCTCTCTCTTTCTCTCTCTCTCTTTCTTTCTTTCTTTTCTTTCTTTCTTTCTCTTCTCTTCTCTTCTCCTGGGGCTTGAACTGTGGGCCTGGGCACTGTCCCCAAGGTTCTTTTATTCAAGGCTAGTGCTCTACCACTTGAGTGACATCACCACTTCTGGCTTTTTCTGAGTAGTTTACTGGAGATAAGTCTCAAGTACTTTTCTACCCAAGCTGGCTTCAAAATGCAATCATCAGATATCAGCCTCCTGAGTAGCTAGGATTACAGGAATGAGCCACCAGCATCTGGCTCTCACCTTATTTCCTAAGGAGAGGATAAAAGGAGATTCCAAGAACAGCCGAAATGTATAATCAACTGTTTTTCCAGGCAGCTTTATCTTCCACTTTGCAATAAGTTTCTCTTCTGCTCAACTTTTTCTCTATTCTTGGATTTATTTCTATTCTGCTCGGAGAACAAGGGCTCAGTGTTGCTGACCCATCACCTGATCTCATGGTATCCCTCAGCTAGGAGCTTGCTAGCTATAACGTCATTTCCATGCTACAACCAGAATGTCCTTGGGACTAGGAGCACCAGATTATGTCACTCCTGTGCTGAAACATCCCGAGGTCTCCTGTCTAAAGTAGAACTGATTCGACAATTGTCACCAGAGCCATTAGGGTCCCTCATCCTATAATGGTCTCCTCGATAATGCAACACAGACCTCCTTCCACCTGCAAAGTATGTCCAGTTTGTTTCTGACCCTTGGTCTTTGAAGTGTGCTAAGCGGTTCCAGGTTCCATTGTGTCATCTTACCATTGTTAGCCAAGTGCCCAACTCAAGTATCTGAAGACGAGAGCTTATAGAGACAGAGAAGGTGTCCAGATTGACACCCTTCCCACAGGGCTACATGGCCAAGTTTGAGATTTCTGTCCTCTGAGTCCCGGGTAGCCCACCTGCTGTGTGGTGGCACAGGCCACATTGCTGCACACCTCACAGTCTGTGATGGCAGGGAGTACCCAGCGTATGGGCAGTGTGGGACGGGTGGGATGGCGTTCAGATAGCAGCACACAGGGTTTCACTGCAGGACATCAACCAGGCTGTTGGCATCCACACTTAGAAGAAGAGGGAGTGACAGTCTAGCAGGAGGACAGGGCAGGCAAAAGTTGCCTCCTATATGGGGTTCGAATCCCATAGTGAGGGAAAACCCAACCCAGAAGTACCTTGTGAGGAGGGTCCACTGTACAGCTTCCTCAGCACTCCAGGTCTCAGACACCGGCCTTCCTTCGATTTTTCAGGGCTCAGATCTGAGGCAGAGAGATGCGCATCCTCTGCCTCCTCCCGTCGCCTCCAGCGAGGCTTTCAGCGTCTGTTGGAGAGCCTCCTAGGCCCCGTGATAAGTGAGGGAGGGCGGTCCAGGGAGGAGGATACCCCGCATGCTTGCTTCCGGACTGGGTCGCTGCTGACGTCACTTCAGGGCCCGCAAATAGAAGACTGGAGTCTCCCGGCCTCCGACGCCCCTTTTACGACGGGAGCTAGGCAGGTTCACGTGCATACGAACTCCACAAGTCCACGCGGGACAACCACTAGTTGTGTATCCTGGATACGGAGACGCGCATTACGCAATCACGCAATTGCGTATGCACGCGTTTACCAGCGTACTGGTCGCTAGGAGACGCTGTGGGACATATGGCGCATGCGTCCATCTCGCCAGCGCCTGGGTCCACGAATCTCGTGTTGTGGGAAAAGGAATCTAGCATGAACCCGAAGGGTCAGAATCTGGACAGCTAGCAGGGGCGGGGAAGAAGGAATGTACAGACAGCTTAGAAAATACCTTAGGATGTAGAGGGATTGGGGGCAGTCGCTGGGGGAAGAGGATGGGAGACTCGAAGTTAATTGAGGGCGTGCTTGGGGGTGGAGCAGGGCGGGGCATCGGGAGAGGAGGCTGGTTGAGGGCGGGTCTTTGCAGGAAGATATAGTTTGGGCGACTCCTGGAGTAACAAGCGGCGCTTGGAGGGTTGAGATTGATTGAAGGCGGGACTTTTTAGGTTGCGGAGTGATGGGGGTTGGAAGAGCGAAGAGGTATTGCGAGTGTCCCGCCAGAGTTGGGGCGGGGCTTTAAGTAACCCCTAGAGAGGCTGTGAGTGCTTAAAAAGGAGTGCGGGGGCAGAGACTTGCGGGTGGAGCAGGCAGATGTTTCCAGTCTGAGATAAATTGCAGGTGGATGCTTTACGGGATTAGGTCACTTGTGGTCTGGGCTGGGGGAACCAAATGGCAGGACCTTCAGTTGGAGGCATGAAGAGGGAGGAGCCAACCTGAAATTTGCTGATGTTGAGTGGGGCCCTGGAATTGTAATGGAGGGATACGCAGTGCAATTTGGAGTGGGGTAGGGACCTGAAACAGCCTGATTGTCACCATGGGGGACAAAAGGAACAGGGTAGACTTGGGAGAGAGATTTGGGGTTAGAACTAGGGCAGAATTGGGGCAAGGAGAGGAGCAGAATTTAAGAGGACGGGAGGGACAGATTGGGAGGCTGGCTGGTAGGGGGGCCAACATGCACTGAGAAAAGCTGGAGTGGGGCTGAGGAGGAGCTAGGAATGTTTACAATAACTAGGGGTAGAGCTTCAGCGGGGATTGGGTCTGAAATGAGACTCGGATAATGGAGCAGTTTGAGGGGGATTGGCAGGAAACAGGAGAATGGGTCTACTCTAAGGAAGGACTGGACTTAGGGTTAAAGTGCTATGTTTTTATGCAACAGACAGAATGACAAACGCTCGGTGACTTATGCTGACCTTGACAAGTGTACTCATGATGGATGCTGGGAGGCAAGGAAGCTGTGGGCAAGGCAGAGACTTGCTTGGGCCCAAGGACCCCAGGGTAAGTCTTGCACAGCGAGGCTGAATCCTACTGGCAGGCGCTCCTTTCCATTAGCCCCAGGGTCTCACTGGCTGTACTGTCTTAAGGGATGTCTTATTAAAGCCTACTTGGAAGGGTAGAGAAAGCAGCCGCCCCCATGCCCTGATGTCCTTAAGATCTATATTGTCCAGAGCCTGGCCTAATAACCATCGATGCTGGTTTGCACAGTGCAGCTAGAGGTAGGCAGCGGGACCCTGATGTCCTTCAGAGCCATTGGGCTTTCCTCTTTTCCCTGGGCATTGTCTGGAGAGCCATGCTTTAGGTCCTCCTTCTGTTTCCCAACGCTGCTTCCTGAGGCTAGGCTTCCCCCTGTACAACACACTGTGCCCTGAGCTCCTGACCTACCTGAGAACCTCTCTTTCTTCTCGGAAGCAGATCCTCTCCATTGCAGTTTTCTTTCTAAATAACACCACTGCTGTTCACCAGTCTCCTACTGAAAACCTGCCATGTCTTGTGTAATTTAGGCCTAACATCTCAGGTGTCAACTCCAGCCCTCTTCACCCTCTTGGCTGAACATGGATCAAGGCCATGCTGTGCTATGAAGTCCCTGATCATGACATATTATGCTTCCAGTCCTGCACCTTGAACTCAGGGCCAGAGTACTGTCCCTGAGCTTCTTTTGCTCAAGGCTAGTGCTAGACCACTTGAGCCACAGCTCCACTTCTTGCTTTTTTTCTATTTTTCTATTTAATTGGAGATGACAGGCTCACAGATTTTTCTGCCCAGGTTGCCTTTGAATAGTAAATTGCAGTTCCCAGCTTCTTGAGTAGCTAGGATTACAGAAGTGAACCACCAGTACCATCAGGCTCCAGATGGAGGTCCCATAGCCTGCAATGGTAGCCCTTTCCTTGTTCTGGCAATCCCTTATCGTCAAGGGACAACACTGATGTCACCTTTCCTGTCACATCAATTTAGAGACTTCTGTCTCTGAGCTGTAGAAGCATTTGGACATTGTTCCTTTGGCTTCTGCTTTAGCCCTTGTAACCTGGGACTCGTAATTGGGTAATTGCCCTATCTGGGTGTGTGATTTCTGGACTTCTGAGTTCCTCTCAGGGAAGGCCTATTTTCACTTGTTTCACAAATCTGGATTTCTGGGACTCAAAAGCTACTTGGTCACTATTTGAAAGA